GAAATCAGGAGATATGTAAATTGAAATGCTTGAAACTGATGTGTAAAAGGAAAATATCCTCACTTATAAAATAAAGGAAAAATAATTCATTCAACTACCATTAGTGTTGGTGGACAGTGGCTTATCTTGTGCTTTCAAATAATTTATGAACGTAAAGATTATCTTAGTTTTGATATTTAAAAATAATTGAAATGATGGTTCTATTATATGTAAATGGAATACACAATCGACACATTTCTTTTGTTTACTGAGCTATGCTTTGTGCAAGAGAACTCCTAAAAGCAAATATTTCGGTAATTTTGAGGCAAGATAAAGTTTATCAGAATTAAGTCTTTTATTGAGAGATGAGAGGAAGGTGGCATTTGTAATAAGGATTTCATATACTAATTTCAAGGTAGAAGTTTTGCTGTGCATAAATTTTTGGGGGGAATATCAAAATGGTTATATAGTAATGTCTTGCTCACATTATAGTCAATGAGAAAGAATCCTTTTTTCATTAGTTAAAAGGTTTTCATTATTTAAAAAGAATGATTTTTTTTTAATGAAACTGTACTATTAATTTTTGGTTGTATCCTATGTTGCAGTACCAGTTTAGGCATGTTTGCTTTAAATGACCATGTACACTAATTAGAAAGAAAACAATTCACCAGGAGCTATATCAAATACAGCCCTGCGAATGGTATGAGCTTTTTCCAAGGATCCATATTGTCTTTGGACTTGGCTGTTGTATTATACTTTAAATGGAATTGATTGTGTGGTTGTAATGAAAGTAACAGATTGATTTCTATCCAGTGTTACAAACAATAAATAGAAAAAAGTTCCAGTCTTGACCTGCATTCATAACCGATGGGACTTGCTGGCTTTTGACCCAATCCTTAATAAGAGATAAGATGCAAATGTAATAAAACTGGCTTCAAAGTTTAAGGATCTTTTCAATGCTCATCAAAGATGTTTCTTTTTTGCATTTAGATGTGTTGTATTGATTAGATCACAATCACCTAGGAAATGTTACTTTCTTTAAATGCTATTCATAATTTATCATGTAATTAGCATTCATATGTGCCTTTATAAACACATTAAGATTATTGAAGTGGAGGTTATAACATAGTGGTATAGTTTTTAATTGTCTTTAAAATTGAATTGCCTTTTTTGGTTATTTAAGTGAATGATGATGGTTTACTTTAGATTTGACTGATTATTTTTGGTTAATAAAAATTTTTGGCTGTGGAGTAAATTTTTACATTCCAATATAATAGGTAAAGTGTAATATTAGTATATTGTAGTAGTGCATTGTAGCAGTATTTTTTCTGAAGACTATTCCTGCTGAATATTCATTCAGAATTATAATTGTATTATTTATTAAAATATGAAATACTTGTTTCCAATAGTGAACTCTTAGTCTTTTCGCCTCATTCTTTTCTTGATAATTTAGAAGATAAGCAAACATGAATATTATAATTGCAATTTTTACTCTGGTAGTCAGGATTTTATAAGACGTTTCCCCTATTCACCCTTTGTAAATAAAACTCAGGCCCACAAAACAAAGAATTTAAAATACAAAGTACAGTTGGGAACTTCACTTTGCTATAAATGAAGGAATGAAAAAAAAAAAGGATAAAAAAGTAAAAATTCATTTGTAAGCAACAGTTTCTTCACACATTATATGACTTTTTTTTGGATTTGTTTTATGTTTTGGGTAAAACAGTTTAGTATAATGATGCTTAGATGAGATAAAACAAAACAAAACAAAATTAAAAAAAAAACAAAACTAACACATCCGACTGCCGATGTTTCTCAGTTGTAGCTTCCAAGAGCTCTGTATTCTTCCCAGCCCACTTGATACCCTGCAGGTTGTGGCAGACAATTCACAGGAAAAGCTTGGACATCGAGCTTGCATGCTTCTTGACTCCATTTTAAACCTTTTGTTCACACCAGGGTGGCATTTTTTCACACTGCATGTGGCAGTTTTGACTCCTATCCAACTTGTCGTATAAAATCAAAGTCTGTGATTTTTTTTTACATTCACAGGACTGCTTCCTGAACTGTACTGCTGTTTGTGTCTTTCCTAGCGATTGGTGCAGAAGTTTATAGCAAAATGTGTTTTAGGGAGGGGGAGGAAGAAGAGAGCAATATGAAAAATGTCCTGGCCTAAACACAGGAAATAAATTTTGAATAAGGCAGAGGTTGACTCTGCAGAGATCGTACATGAAAATCAAATACACTTATCACTATTTTAATTATTTTTTGCAGTATACAAGCTACAAGTTGTATATATATACAAGTTAATTAAAAATATATTTAATGATATCACTTTCAGGTTGCAAATGCCGTTTTTTAAAAAGCTGTCATGTGATTGCAAAAGAAAAATCTCATTCTCAAATTAATATAATTATTTTATAATATTCAATGAGTGCAAATGAATTTTACTTTTAGATATGATCATTCAACATACCTTACTATTTGATTTTAAGTTTAATCATGAATAAAATAAAACCTATTAAAAAATTATACTATGGAACACAACATTTAAATAATTTCTGTATCAGCTTCATCATTCTTAGTTTTCTTCTTTCCCCTCTGCTTAATTAAAAATATCATTTTAGTCCTCATTCATTTCCTTCATACTTTCAAATAATAAATTACACAGATATTTCAAATGAATTATATAAAGCCATATTTATGAAATAATAGCAGAAGTAGAAAATTTTACCAAATGGAAAAGTTGTGTGCCTTGGCATGTTTCTACAGAGTAATTATTAAGAAAGATATGAAAACTATGAATAGGAAATTTCTGTACATGATCTGGCAATAGTAAATATATATATATATATATATTTATACTTGTCCTTTGGAATTCTTATTTTGTTTAAAGATTATCTTTTATTTGTATTAAGTATATAAAAGTATTCTAAAAATATTCCATAAACATGAAATAATCCCTAGAAATATTTCAATATTAATTTTGTAGAGGGTATAAGGAAAGATTTCCATTTTAATCAACAGATAAATAATGACTATAAGATTTCTTATATTTTCTGAACTTATACAGTAGTCACATTCTTTTATTTTTAAATTACTATATTTTGAACAGTAACAATTCGATCACAACATAAGGAGAAATGAAAATTCAGTTAATAGAAGGAAATATTTAATGCAGTAATAAGTATTTCTTAACAGTGTTAACAAATTTTAAAGTAAAAGAATCTTATTGCAAATTTTATTAAATTTTTAGCTACAAAGCCAACTTAATTAATAGAAATAACTTTAGTTAATTCAAGTTGTATACTTGATATATTATAAAGAACAATGTTATTTTAAGAAAAAAATATATAAAAGGAGTAGCTGTAGTTTATAGTTTTTATTCCTTCTTCTAGGGAATACCTACATAATTTTAGTGCATCTGAATTATTCATTAAAATATTCGAAGTACGAAATGTATCTGTTATATTGAAAAAGACCTCAATTTAGAACTTAGATTTTTCTTTCACTTTCTGGAACAACAAACTGTGATTGACAAGAACATAGCAGAGAAATAGCACTTTATTGTAAGTTCTGTAATAGTAGATTACTAGCGGACAGAACAACCACTTGCTTTTCCTTTTACAGATAGAAAACTACTTTAACTACAACTCCTATAAAGTGTTTGAAAATAAAGCAAAAAAGAAAAAAATATTTCAGGAATAAGTAAATCCAACTTGTTGGTGTAAATAAAATGCTATTTAAAACAAATAAGATGCAATGGATTTAGTAGTCTGGAATTTTCTTGTGATGCACAGATATTTTATCAAGCACAATTTTTTTTAACCTGTCTTTAGTTAATTAAAATCTGTCCTCATTAGAATAAGAAAGAAAATAAAAAGTATTTATACTTGAATACAAAAGTTTTATAAAGATCAAATAAAATTCTGTCATTAAAAACAAATGACTGAAAACAAATAAAATATCCAAATAAACACATACCTATTTAATTGAAATTTGTACTAAGTCCTAATTTAAAACCTAATGGCATCTGGAAATCTAATAAACCATTTGAAATTAAGAATATGGAAAAGACAAAAATAATCATCATCTAAAGAATTTTTTTATGAAATAAAATTTACCTACTTTTGCAGCTCATGTTTGTTGAAAAAAACGTATGGCTTTATTTCATGTGCATGCCAAAGAAGGTAGAAATATGTTTAACTCATCATTTTTCATTATCTAGCAAGAAAACTCCAACTTTTATTGCTTTAAGTTTCTTATTTCCTACCCTCCCCGCCTACTCCCTCCGTTTCTTCAGACTCTCTTCTGTCCAGCATTGCTTCTGTTTGAGGTGAAAAAAGTAAGACTCCCAAGCAGACACACGCAAAATAACCACCACCCAGCTGAAGAGAAATAGGTTTTCTGCCTTTGGCCTGTCCTTATATGTTAATAAAATCAGCTCATACATTCTGCCACCAAATTCAGCTTGGAAGTAATCCTCTGCTACTTAAGGCTGAATGAAAAGAGTACTCATTGTGAATTATGTTTCATCTGTCACAATAACCTTCTTTATTCTGTCATGGACCTCCCCTTTGCCTGTGGCAATTAGAGAAAATAGGTATGCCTTGAAGTATGAGATAGTGGATTCTTAAAACAAAACAAAAACTGATACACACAGACAATGCTTGCTAAGCAACATATTGAAAAAAAAGCATATGAAGCATTTTGAAGTGATTCTGATTTTTTTAAGGACTCAGTAAAATAATACATTTTAGAATAAGCAGGTGGGATTGTGGCTGTCGGTTATTGTTAACATCAGTTATTGATGAAAAGCAATGAATTAGAATTGCATTAAAAATTAAATGTCAACATATTTTTGTATTGTATACTTTCTAATTAAATCATGCCATAAGATACATATTACAAATATATGGTATTTATTTAAAGTACCAAATGAGAGTAATAAATTTATGTGCCTTTTAGTATATTTCAGTACTCCAGACTAACATTTTCACAAATTTTTAAAAGGAGAAAAACAAAGAAAAAATTTTCCCTTAACAGAGCTTAACAAATACTTTATTTAACTTAAAATCAATGTGATTATTTGATTTACTTACTCTTACAAATCACTGAAATTACCTTGAGGCAGCTCAAGTTCACGTTTCTGGAATTAAATCTGTTAAATGATAGACATCATCTAATCATCTTCTTGAAAAGATACCTCAACTTTTTGGCTTAACAGGATACAGTTATATCACTTCTAGTTACAAATGAGTTAAGCTAGATCTTAAGCTACAAAAGACAAAAAAAAAAAAAAAAGAAGAAAACAAAAACAAACATAGTTGACAAAAAAGAAAATGCTCCTTCTCGTACCAAAAGAAAGTCGCTGCTGATGAAGTAATTCAAAAGTCATCATAACAGTTGCTAAAATTAAAGCACATAAACAATTTAAGCTATCAAGAAATTCATAAAGTCTGAAGAAAAAATTCTTGAGACTAAAAGGAAAACCTTTTGGCCCACCGCACAGGTTGGGCACAAAAGTGCTTGCTAAGCTATCTATTTCACACATGCAACGACAGAAGGTTCGATATTCATTCGATCGATGAGTGAAAAGGCACAATGGCAAAATCAGACAGACTTCTTTTGAAATACAGATCTCCAATGTCCCCCTACAGTCTACAGATGCACGGCTGGTGGCGTGGCTCAGACGGAGCAAGGGTTACATCAAGGCTGTTCTCTGGACCGTGCAAACAGTCTAGACCAATGACCTGCAGCATCATGCCCTTTGAAGAAGAGGCAAGTTCGGTCATGATGAAGAAAAATCAAGGCGTACCCCTTTTAACAATAGGGAGCAGCTCGAGGCTGCAAAGAGGTAAGCAGGGGTAAGAAAAAACGGCATCTGCTTCCATGGTTACAGGCCAACTATGAGAACCTTGCTTTTCAAGGGAGTCTGTTCTCAGGCTCCCTCACAGGGTATGTCATGCATTATAAGCAAAGGCAGGTTGAGCTGAAATCCGCATAGTTATTTCAGAGTAAAATGATACCGAGCACATGGCTGGCAGAAAAAAAAAAGTCACATGACTATTAAGAACCAGACTTGGGCTATTTCAGAATAGAATTTTTTTTCTTATGTCAGTTTAAGTAAAGACAGTAAATTTGTATAAAACAAACAGTGATGATAAACATGATTTTCATTTCTCAGGCTCTTATGTAAGTAGAGGTCAAGGGTCAATATAATACCTCCCACACCATGGCAGGACCATACAGCCTATTGTTAAAATAACTTTATGACGGATATCATTTAAAAATATTTCCATTTTTTTGCTGGACTGTAAGATAGAATATATGATCTTGTGAATATCTTTCTCTGTTCTGATCCTCTTTGATTTCCTGCCCTGGATCTTCCCATGTTTACATTCATTTCTGTGGTTAGACCTCATGAGGAAAGGTAGGAGGTTTGGTGAGAAACTTCCTCGGTGTGGCAGTGAAAGCTAAGAAAGTGTGGAGTTTCCTCTGCCTTTATAAATATAGTGAATTCAAATCTATGTCAAAATCATGAGCCTTTGATAGTAGTTCTATTTCTAATTCATGCATTTATATTTTATTCATTGCTTGATACATCGATGAGTCTATAGATTTTTTTTTCTTTTTCTGTGAGATGGTTAGTTGTTAAAGTTGAATTTTGTGATATGATATACTAGCAGCTAATGCTATTTGAATAAAAATTTGACAAATATAAAATGCAGCATATTCTGTAATATTAAGGATCAGTCTACTATAATAACTATAAAAAAGGCAGACATATGAATAATTAACATAGATAAAACATTCCTGTAACAATGTGCCATAACTGAATATTAGAAGAGCTCATATTTGGTTTTCTTCCAATGATGTACAATTAACTCTAGATGTCCCATGCAGTTTATCCTTGGAACAATTTTTGTTTGCAAGTGTGTTTTTAAAATTAGGGAATAAAAAAGGAAAGAAGGTTCCAAAGGGCAAGGTATAAAACAACTTTCATTACATTTATTTTTCAGAAGTTATGTATGTTACTATAAATGAGCACCATATGGTCTTGTACGCAGATATTCATTTCAAATACTTACCTTGTAAGAAAATTACCTTGTAGCTTTATGAAAGCAATTAAGTGTTGGTGATCATGATAGCAACAATTTTGTGCTCCCAACTGAGAAATCAGACAGTAATTTTCTGATGTGTTCCTCCATACTGATGGTGTGTGTTCACGACTAAAGGTATGCATGTGGTTTTGTTTCTTTCAATGTGATGAGATACATTCATTTCTGTGCTTACATGGTGAGGAACTCATATAGGGTAAAAAATGAACTACTGAAGTGTTACTATTTTAGTATATAAAAATCCATACACTATTATAAACAGTGAACACATTATCTTAAAGCAGTCATGTTGTAGTTTCTTTAAATAATTTACATATTGCTAAGATAATTCAACATCAGAGTTTCTTTGATGAAACAACAGATCATACTTGCTGCCAAAGGTCAAGTGCCAGCTATTTCTTCTGTGGAAAATCTACCTCTCAGTTCTCCAAAGGAAAACAACGAAAAAGCAAATGCACAAAGGTTTACGTATTGCATGATAATTTGTGGGTTGTGGTTAAAGGAAAGAGAGGCTATTGCATGAAATCTGTTGCAAAATAGCTGGATTCTTGGTTTTTTTTTTTTTTTTTCAGTTAACATTGAACCATTAGTCTTGCTCTTTTGTTTTTCAAAACATACTCAATTTTATGAATATTTACGTGTGTACATAAATTACACTAACTTGCCAAATGTGGATATATGTTAAACACTTGGAGATATTCTCATAAACTCAGATGGATAGTTATTAAAATGCTATTACTTTAACACATTAATATGCAGATAGACATTTAATATTGAGTACTTATGGGGAAAAAGGACAGCTTCTTTCCTTAAGAAAGATTCTCTATATCTGAGTATTAAATATCTGAGTCCATATTACATATGTCCATACTACATGTAGTTTGCAACAAAAACTCCACTTATAGAACAAGGTGTATTAGATTTAAACATTCCCTAGAATTAAATGTTAGAATAATTAGTATACTCTGCCCTCCCCACTACAAAATCAAAAAAAGAAGGACTAAAATTGGCCTTGCCTAACGGAGACTTACTCATATAAGTGAAATAAAAGGACTGAAATTTTCAGTGCTTTGAATATAGTAGATGCTCAATAAAATATCTCTCTAATAAATGAATAAACCTGTAATTGCACTGAAGAATCAATTACCTAAGTATAATTCAATCTCATGAAATGAGGAACAGAAACTTCTCTACTTACGTGTGTATATTTTTTTTTACCTTTTTCTTATGACCTTTCTATACAAATAAGTACTTTTTGTCAGTAATCTGAGATTACTGAATGCCTACTATATGTCCAGTGAGACTTGAAGTGTGTAACCAGAGCCACATTTCCCTAATGGGATTCTATGAAACACTACTATTCTGAAAGATGTTACTAGATGTTCTGGGACAAACAAAAATCCAGAAGTCAAATAGATATGACAGGGGTACCATATTAAAAGATGTTAAATAGATTTCTCATATAAAATACTTCTCAGGGCATTCAGAAAACTAAGTATATAGTGTATCCCTAAGAGGAGCGTATACTTGACACTACTTTCCAAAGTTATTTAATCAACTTTGTTCATAAAATAGTTATTAATGTAATATTACCTAATTTCAAAGATATGCCAAAGCTGGCTAAAACCAGCTTGGATGAGCCAATTGTAACTATCTTTTCCTAAATTCCGTTTTTAAGAGACATCATTTTCTTGCTTGAAATCAGCTATGGCAGAAGTATTTGCATCATAGAAATCATCAAATACTACAAATCAGAGCCTTTTTTTCCTTTTTTTCAGAACTGGTTGTTAAACATTTACTGGCACACCATTATCTAATTTCTTCTCTCACTCCATCTCTGTAGGTAAGTTATGACCACTAACAGGTCAATAGGTTCAGAAGTTTTCTATTTATCAACCTGTCTAAAATACAAAACTTTTAAAATCAATTATGAAGACTAGACATAAAAGAGATAGGCAGCCATGGAAAATAATAGACACTCCATTTTTTCTTTAAAGTTTTAGCTTTTATATCAGGAAGTAGTATAGTTTATCTGTCTGACTTCTCTAATTTACCTGAGTAAACATCTATGTATATATTCCTTTATACTTTTTCTAACAAAATATTTATATAGTCTGATATATAATTGTCTAATCATTTCTGAGTGCCTGACAACAAATTTCTGAAAATTGCCAGACAGTTTTTAAATGTGTCTCTTAGACTTGCTTCATTATCATCCAATTTTTATAAAACTGAGACAAGGTATCATGAAGTAATTTATACTTTTGTATTGAATATCATTTAATTTCAGGCATTTTATCAGTCGTATTAACCCACTTGATCTCTTGAGTGAGATTATTAGGAGGAAACAAAAATGCAAAATCTATGAGTAGAGATATTGAAATACACATTTTTGACAGACAAGCCACTTAGTTCCCATTTGATATTTTACCTGTTAAATTACTGTGAGTAGATTATAGCTGAAATCTTTAAATATTGGGTGGATTACAAGTATAGATATTTGGCTAAATAATATATGACTTAGAATCATAAATGGATTAGTCTTTGACTTTATTGCTTGAAGAATGGGTTCTACGGTGACAGGTTTTGAAGGGTCTCTGGGATCTATTTTGTGACAATAAGTAGGATGATTTATAGTATGGTTCTAATTTACCTTTCCAATCACATGCACCCAAAACACTATGCACTTCAGCTTAGATGGCTCTCAAATTAGTTAATTAATCTGAGTGTCTATTTTGGGGCCACGTATTATGCTATTCATTGGAAATCCAAACATGTTTAATACATGGTCTCTGCCCCTCTGGAGCCCACAGTCAAGTATGAAAAGAAAGCAACTAAAATGTGCTGGTATCATGAGGAAAAACCATCTGAATATAACTCTGTCTACTTTAGATCTAACATGCATCTATATCATGAATGCCAAGAATTCTATGAATTTAATCCCAGCATCTCATAGACTTTCTATATTCTACTCTCATCACATAATATGTGTCACAGAGAGCTTCATATTCACAAATATAATTATGAACAGCACACTCAAGATGGCCAGGACATGATTCTTAATATATAACCAAGTAAAGAGTAAGTGGAAACAGATAAATTACAGTAACTAGCTGTACATTCTATTTATAAAAACTAGGAAATAGTATACACAAAGTCAAGATGCTCAGAGAATATTCTGCCATTATCATAAGATATCAGACATTCAACTTAGGCAATATTGTGTGTGTGTGTGTGTGTGTGTGTGTGTGTGTGTATGAAAAGAAATATGTGTTGAATACTCATTGAATAAGATATTTCTTGTAGTTGAAAAAAATCATTTGAACATACTAATATCATGCTTCTGAGAAATCGAAAGCTAATCGAAAGTTCTCAAAGGTTTTACTTTGTTATCGTATCAACCATATTGGACATAATACACAATTTTAGCATTGGAAAATTCTCTTCCTTATGCCACATAATATGGAACTCTTTTCTCCTTCAAATATACTTCACAATTGTGAAAACATATTAATGCAAAATATTTACACATGAAAGGTTTCCAAGTGACTTATTTAATATAAGGTATTTAATGAAAATACTTTTGATTTTTGATAGATAATTTATTAGCACTATTTATAAAGTTATAAGCACTATTATCTTTTAATTTTAGAAGGAAAAATTGTCCTTTTATATGTTTTTTAAGAAGCTGTCTTGCTTTTTTATAACAAAAAAGTTGTTTTTTAAAAATTTCTAT